CCCCCCCCCCCCAATTATCGAGCTGGCAGCGCCACTGTCTGTTTGGATGAACCTATCTGATATAGTAATGTGTCTGTCTATATACATGACAAACAGACAGATTTTGAAAAGGTCCAAGTCATGCTGATGTTCAAACCATGTTGAAATTCACAATCAAAGACCAAACCGGGTGCAATAAAAATGCCTTACTCAGGCACTTTTTGCATATATTTTGAAGTCTGTCCTAATGGATGATCTCCATAGATCTGTTTGCCATGTTTATGCATCTAGATAAATTACGTGCAAAATTATCTTCTCTTTGCCCAGGTTCGTTTGTCTTGTACAATATACTGATTCAATATTTTCTTCTTGCAGCAATGTGAGCTCTGAGCAGAAGAATATTTTGTTTGTGGCTGCCACCAATCGTCCTGAAGTGTTGGATGAAGCCATCTTAAGACCAGGCCGAGTAGATCGTGTTGTGTATGTACCTCATCCTGATAGAGAGACAAGACTGGAGATACTCAAGTTATGTTGTAAGAACATGCCAACAGCAGATGATGTTTGCCCTCAGATGATTGCAGATAAAACTGAACTATATTCTGGAGCTGACTTGAAAAATCTGTGTCGGGAGGTGAGTTTCATTTACTGCATTTAATCACCATGCATATACAGTATATTGCTGCTGCTATTATTTATGCTTACAGTATGAGGTTGTCAATTTACTAGCTGTCTATGTTAACATTTTTGTTAACATCTAACCCTTCTTATTAACATTCCCTATGGATGGAAACAGGAGTACCCTGGCCAGAAAAAACCTGCGATTTTCCGTGGAACGTTTACTGATCGAAAACTACGACCATTCATTCTCAGAATTAACATAAAATGTTATATCTCTGAGGATATTTCCTTTTTTTTCCAGGCTGCACTGAATGCTTTACAAGACTTGGGTATTGAGAAATGTTCTCATGTGGAACACAAACATTTCATCCAAGCACTGTCTGCCATCTCACCTTCACTATCGCGAGAACAAGTTAAGTCTTACGAAAATCTGGCTTTGTCTTTGTAAAAATATCTTGGCAAACATGGTTTTATCTTGGTTACGACAACAATACAATATATTTAGAATTTTGGCTTTGTTATTCGTTTGTCGTTTGGTATGTGGTGTGTATAATGCGTTCTTTTTCGTGAAAACCGGATGTTACTGGATTACTCTTGGTTATACTGGATTACTACTGTTTATATATGGATGTCCTGTTTATATGGGATACTTGGATTGTAAAGTAATATGGCAATCAGAGACAACAAAGAGGTAAGATAAACTTCTGTTTTCTTCTGTAAGTTGAAGTTTATTAATGTGCTGCATGCATGGTCTAGCCATGTTTCATTAATGTTGTGCATGGTCTGCGCATGTTTCAGTGATCAGAAATGACTTGAGCTAACTGCAAACATGGGTAAGAAGGTCCTGTGCGATCTTTCGTATTTCTGGATCTAAACAGGACTACCATTGCTTACAGGACTACCGTTAAAATATTTATGGCCTACTTGCAAATTATAAGTACGATAGTTGATAAGATTGAGAATACAGTACACAACTACACATAACATGCAATTAGATGTGATGAATCATGTCCTCGAAATTTAATGTTATCAGTTGTTTGCATTTCTTTTACATTTATTTAATTTCAATTACAATTGTGTAGTTTCTGAATGAGTTTGTTGATATGATTCCATTTGTAATCTACTGGGATATTCCGTATGTATCGTTTCCAGTCCTTCCGATTGCGCTTCATGACGTCGTGCTCTATGTACACGACAATGTCGGTAACTAATGAATACTATTTTTGCTGCTGTTGCTATAGCAATGAACAGAAATATATACCTACAGTAGAATAGAAATAAATCTTCATGAGTGGAGCAACCAATTTATTCTCACACTCTGATAGCACCAATTAAGGAATAAACCCAGCTACATGTACATAGATATAGACTAAGGACTTTCGGTAACAAATATTGGAAATATCTTACCATTTATTTTTTAACCAGTAAATGATAACATCAAATGAATCTTCGTTTTCATAATATTGGTCCGTGTGTTCTTCACATTGACCAATGTCATCACAAAACTTATTTTCACCGCATGGTGTCTTGTCAGGAAGAGTTAAAATACTGCCTGTAAACTGAGAGGATGGTACACATTCATCCTGCAGAAAAAAATGAACAATTAGGGTAGTACATTCTTTATACCAAACTTTACTTCTAAGACTTAACGCTAACCATAACTCTAATCTTAACCATAAATCAACCTCATTCCTAACTGTAGACCTTAACCTTTGATTAATTTCTGCTTACAGTAGTTTCATTTCCGCGCGTCAAAGGTGTGTTCAGTTAAACCGCGTGAGTTTTCTACATTACTGATACTACCTACCATTGTGTTGTTACAACACACTTGACACAGATAACCCATCTCATCACATGGACATTGATTCAGACCATAATAAGAGCAAATTGAACCTTTGCATTCACCATTTTTGCAAACATTTGAACCATTGTTGCAGATTTTGTTGTCAGGTTTACGTTGTGTTCCTGGACACGTACCATTCTCGCCTAGAGTAATGACAACGTTGATTACTGCTTTTCTTATGGTTAATGTCTTGAGGTAGCAGGTTATTTCTGTTATTTCTTTCTCTAATGCTAAGGTAGAATTACTCCTAATGTTTTGAGCAAGACGAAACCAATATCGGCACAAGAACTGGCGTAGTAGTATTGATGAACCCAGAAAGTACGCCATTTTTGCAAAGATTGTTACAGGTCTTTGAAAATCCTTTAATTTCATCTTCAGTGTGGGATAGCATATTGTACAGAATGTAAAAACAACTTACAATAAGATGTAAAGGAACATTCTGTTTCTTCTTGGCAAACTTTTCTCTCTGTGTCATTGATAAATTTACACTCGCTCGTACAGCATGCTCCCGCTTTCGGGCTGCAAAAAAAGACATATTTTCATTCTTAGATCTGGCCTTTGACGAGCATGCTCTACTGTCACTTGCGATGATGGTTTCTTACTAATTGAAATCATTTCTAACCTGCACTGTGCTGTTGACTTGAGACGACATCTGCGGATATTGAGGAGCCAGTCATCCTTGGCAACACAACAAGGATCCCGGATGTGACAGCCAGTTCTATCCCCACAATCGCATTGTTCACCTGTCTCAATTATCTCATTACCACAATATGAACTACCGTCTACAAAGAAATCCAAGTGCGCTTTTAATTTAGCAAACCCTAATAATCTTAAACTGTGTAACTTCACTTAAAATCTAACACAAATTTTAACCCATTTTAGCGATGAAGGGCTTTCGCTCCAAACGTCGAAGTTTACCCAAAACCTACCCTTCCCTTGGCCCTTACCTTCGCTTGGCCTTTCCTTAACCTTGCCTTGAACTTGGCCCTAACCTTCCCTTAACCTTACCTTGAACTTGGCCCTATAACCTTCCCTTAACCTTCCCTTGAACTTGGCCCTAACTTTCCCTTAACCTTCCCTTGAACTTGGCCCTAACTTTCCCTTAGCCTTACCTTGAACTTGGCCCTAACCTTCCCTTAACCTTCCCTTGAACTTGGCCCTATAACCTTCCCTTAACCATACCTTGAACATGGCCCTATAACCTTCCCTTAACCTTACCTTGAACTTGGCCCTATAACCTTCCCTTAACCTTACCTTGAACTTGGCCCTATAACCTTCCCTTAACCTTACCTTGAACTTGGCCCAATAACTTTAGCTCTAACCTGTGAAGCACTCGTGTGCTCTTGCTTGAAGCATTTTCCTCATGTCATTGACACTACACTGCGAAAACTTGTCGTTATTTGGGTGTGCTGCATCACTGGAGTGTTCATACATAATATAGTTGCCGTCCCTGCCACCTGGCTGGCATTCCTCTTGATCGTGCTGGAAAAACGAGAGTGTTTCAGTTAACACAAGAAGATGATGTTGAGAAACTGCATCTCTCAATTTTACGTATTGGCCTCCAAGTACAAAACTACATGACGAGTACATTATATTCTCTACATTCTTCGACGACTATAAAACATTTTCTAGCTACAGTAAACTACTTCTTTGTCTCTTTAAACCCTTCTGCGTACAATTTGAGTTGTACTGTGTAAATCAAGCACATAACTCGCCTACGTTGTCGTGATGAGTTGTGTGCTTGATTTACAAAGTACAACTCACGTTGTAAGCAGGTTGCTTGCGACAATTTAGGCAAACATTGTATGGTGTAAATCGACCATTATTGTGTCTGAACATTGTAGCCCTACCTGAGCTCCAAAACCATGACCTAATTCATGAGCTACAGTTAATGTGGCTGTCCTATCTCCAATCATTTTACCATGATTAAGAAATGTCACTACCGCCGTGTTGAATGACATACTGTAGTGTGTGTTCCAAGGCTCACATATCCCACCCAATGTGTTCAGTTCAGCGAGCCAAGCAAGACCGAGTACTCCTTTAGAAAAATCTCGGTAGGTCAACAATAAACTGAGACAGTAGGAGTCGTGATTTAGTTTACTCCAGCTTTTGAGGTATTTGTCGACTGGAATGTCACTTGGAGAGGAAAATATACCTTGAGAATTATAAAGGCGAATGTTAATGGGCGCGTTTACTTCGACGACAGGAGTACAGTTAAAGTTTCTCCTTGTTGTTAAGCTTGGTTTGGTTATGCAGAGGTAATGAGTGCTCTAGCGTTGTATAGAACTTCTTAAAGAGAGTCTTGTCCCACACCCTCCTTACTTGGAGACAATACTAACCCTCCGACTTCAGATCTTCGTAGACAACCAAAGAAGCGATTATCACACCGATACTTTCATCTTGTCCTTCATAAAATTTGGTACTTCGGAAGATTTTATCTGCTTCAGATATGTAATACGCCATCTTGGCCAAGGTGGTCGAAGTACTACTCTTACCCACATGTTTATAAAAGTTACTGTCAGCTGCTACCAGAACTGGACAACTGTTATAATATGTAGACAGACGTTTGGATCGCCTATGTTTGGTCACGTGATCTCTTATTTGTGGTACACTATATGTATGACTACATGAAGTATAGTTCTCAATTATATCTTTTTCTCTGTATATAATGATAGTATCATGGGATTGATTCAAACGATTCCTAAATGCTTCTATATAAAATGTGTCTTCCTGTTGCACAGATATTTGACCATGAAATTGCCCACGTGTAAAATAACCAGAGACACGTGACTCAGCCTTGTCTAAAAATATGGATAGAATTATATGTGAACAACCTTTATACTAGCCGTGCCCTAATCCCAAACCCTAATCCTTATGTTCTAATCTTAATCCAAGGGATATTGCTTTCTATTGTATATTATTAACGTATAAAATAGTGATATTTGAGACTGGTTTACATTATCAAAGTTTCTGTGATCACAGTAGGAATTTTGCATGGGTAAATTCTACGTTTTGAATGATTTGTAAGAAATGCTTGAGCCTTGGTGTTTAACACTAAACTTTGATTGTGTAAACCAACCTTTAGACTTATACCGCCACCTTTTACTGACTAGCTACGCATGTGATTGGTTGATTAAACGCGTCTGATTGGCTAATGATTTCTTAATAATGGAAGTCAAATTTAACCCTTATTTATACCTGTAAGTTGCCCTTCGTAAATAAGATTTTCCGACAACCATTTAGTATGTTCTTTATACTTGGAAATTATCTTGACTTGAACCTTGCTTTGAAATACTTTATTGTCAGGCCACAGTATTGCAGAAAAATTTCTATAAAGATGAAATATTTCACATTGACCATTGTTGCAGTGGCGGCCAACTTTAGAAATCTTGATTTTTATAGAAACTAGAAGATTAAACTACATTTCCTGATCCTATTCTTTATTTGCCTCCAAATACAAGACCACTATAACTGAAAGAATTAACATTATGTCTTCACTCTGATAACTGCAAGCTGACCACCATCTTACAGTATTATAATAATATTTAACTTCTCATATCCTAACCTATCAAAAGCACTAAGATTGAGCAGGAAGCCTGCTGCATTTGACCTCTTGTGGGATCCATTGTTGTCTAAGACACGAATGTCAAGCTTTGTGGTTTCATAGTAACTCACAAAATCCACCAGTTGGTCTGAAAAAAATAATGAAGATAATTGATATTTTACGATTACCATTATTCATTAAGGCCGATTTTAAATACAATACACAACTTTTGCCTAAAACTGCATGTTTACAATTGTACTATGTAAGTCAAACACACAACTTGCCTGGGTTAAAGACATATTAATGACGAAAATTACTGTTGATATTTTAAAGTTATAACATTTTTAATACAAAATGTTCATGTTTACTGGGTGAGCGGAGAAGCAGTAATATTATCGGGCCCGCAGTAATTGGCTATTCGCTGTTGCGGTCACCCAGCCGTGGTCATGTACCTACTGTATTTCATTATGTACGTTTGTTTTTGTCCTGTCATGTAATGTACTGTTTCATCGGCAAAGTTTATAAATTAAAAAATTAACTGATTTTATCTCGTAATTGAAAAATTTGTAATTTTGCTCGGCAAAAGACTTGTGGTTTTTGAATTAAGATAAAGCAGAACTGTAATTAAGTAAGTCCAAGTAAGGACAAGAAAACGTATAGATAGGAAACATCAAATATTGTTTAAAAATAAAACATTTCAAATAGCTAGACGAAGTAAATTTTATGAAGTAATTTAAGTATGAAAAGTTGTTTTCTAGTGTCCATGTGCAGTTTGTAAAATACGATGTAGATTTAAAGATAAGCACTTAATTACATTATAGAAAATTAGATAACTTGTTAAATTATTTTTTATAATTTTCATGTTTTCATACCTGTTAATTTCCCGTCCATAAAGTGGAAACCTGAAAATGTTAGTAAAAATATCACACGCCTCAAAAATAACTTGAAAGTAATCATTAATCTTCAAACAATTCATTAAAACACACTTTGCCACTCCAAACAGTAACTACTGACAATTTTGTTGTCTTTTTCACGTTATTTTTGCGAAAAACTGCTAAAATGCAATCGAAAAAAATTTAAAAACAAAAAAACGAATTTTTTATAAGTCGACTGCTGACGTATGCACTGCTGTCGATAATTGGTTCCAGTCCTCCTCAAGTGCGCGCGCATATTGAAGCGCGTTGGAAATGCTAATTTCATTTATATTTAATTACACATTATTTACAAATATGGTAGATTTGATCAAAATTTGTGGTTTGAGCTTGTGTGTTAAATTGAAAGTTCGTTTTAAATATAGTTGAGTGGTATACTACCCCGTGGGCCCCGAAACAAAGGCGTCTATAGAGAAACGACTATTGTCAATTAATTACAAACGCAAATACAGATTATGATATGAATGGATATTTTCCCCGTGTTCGCACGAGATAACATGATGGAAAACAAGATGTAATCTTGGATATTTGTCTACAACAAAGTTCTTTGGTTCTGATCATAAGTTGTGATTGTATTTGTTGATATTTTGAAATCTCAGACAGCTTTCAAGTGTATATTTTTTGTTAAAGCAAGTCCTTTGTACATGAATTGTGTTAGAATCTACTGCGAGAAATGTACTTTAGATTTCTAAGACCACTGCCTATATACCCTGGGAAATCATGGATTTACATCAACCGAATTCACACGCGTAAATTGTGTTTATCTGACGATAATGCCTGAATAGGCGTCGTCCCACACAATTTCCATGTTGTGTTTGTATTTTTAATCTATCAAACCAGACACATTTTAAAATTTAAATTTAATTTGTTATCCTAAATGTTTTTCTAATCAGTTAGGTTTGTTTAGATAATTCATCCCGCGCTAGACGTTGTTTTAACGCACACTGCTCATCAAACATGCACACGCCAGAATTATGCTGTGTTTATTTAAACTGTATGAGTGCTCTGTGGGAAAAGCGGTATACCAATCTTCATCCTGTACAGAATGGATGCACAGAATGTACAAAATGGATGACAGGGGCCGGGGTGGGGAGTGCTTTGTGTAGCGTAAATACGTTCTGATATTATCCTTGACCTAATTGTTATCCTTGCACTGATACCTTACTTAGTCTTACCCTAACATAAAGTATTTTGTTTGCATCAAACAGTAACGTGTAGATATTCCAAATGCCAAACTATGATCGGTCACTACGTCTGCTCAGTATACAGCTTTCACAGTAATCGTACAATTGTACAAAGTATGTATTGGAGAAATATTTGATATGGGAAAGAATTCATTAGCCTTTACATCTTCACATTTGATCATTCCTAGCAATCATTTATCTTAGACTATCCTTGGTATCATAATTGTTTTGTATGACTTTGTATAGAAAGGATTAGTCCACATTAGTCTTAATGACCAATGGTTTTATCACTTGTTAATCTTGTGCTAACACAATGTTTCTTCTGTTAATCCTCGCTAAATCCCATTTAATTGCGTTGACAACTAAACGAGGCCAACAACAACATATTAATGTGTTTATTTTAAAAATTAGACTAATATAGCTACATTTTTGTATCCATTTAGAACACTGCTCGTCATGATAGTGATAACGATCCTAAAACTAGGTTTTTAATGGCGAATTTCCAATGGGAATGTTCTCGGAGGAGAATTGGAATCATGCAATCATAAACTAATGCAATTTTTTCTACACTGAGGCTCTAACAAGTGACAAAATTATTTCAATCAAGTAATGTAACTAGGTTGGGATGGGTAAAAAAAGATAAAATCGAGACCCTTCTTCACAAAGTAGCCACCAGTCACTGAGGGCCTTCGGCATTCTCAAAGAGTTTTTAACCCTGGGGGTCCAGCGTCGAGCTAGGTCGGTCTCGACGTAGAATGTATTGTCAAGTATAAGACATTCAAGTGTCCGTGGCTGTCGTGAACTTCACAGAACGTTTTATGTAAATATACCGCACAGACAGGATGAATTCGCAATTACACTTAAATTTCCATGACTATGCCCTTCGCGTGCACAGCTAGCAGATTCCCTATTTCAACGTGATGTGAGAAAGCCTGCATGCAGAGATACTTGCCTCGATCCTTCGTCACGAGAGTTTATAGTAACAAGACAAACCCTCTGCTTTTATAGAAATTTTTTTTCTGTCAAAATGCTTTCTCTTTGATTTCTAAAATCTTAATGACTTGTGAGCGCAGCTGCAGTTGCTTGTAAAAGCAATTTATTCAAAATACACTTTCTGTTAAGTAGCAGTTTAATGAGATACATTGTTTTCAAACTATGTTAATAAATATATTTGCACTATATTTTTTAATTAACTATATTTGATTCTACCGTTCCTTTATATTGTCTTCTATTTGTATTAAACGTAATTACTTTTTAGATCGTTCACACTATCTGTCAACTGATGGAAATAATATCAATGTAACTCAGTCGTTAGGTTGGTGCATGTTTATCTGATATTTATGTTAAAAAATGTCCAAAACGCTGAACAAATATTCGACTTATTGTACTAAAATATGTGTACAGTACAAAGGGATTTCGATTAATTTGGCCAAAAAGAACACTGTTATTTGCGTTAATATAATTGGGAAACTAAATATGTTGCGGTGTGTATAGACTTGAGTACTTGCTAAGCATGAAATATTAACGACAACCTACAGGGAACGCTGCGTGGCAGGTCAACTCCATGGGAGTGAGCTAGACAGACGCTAACTCGCATAGAACATTCTGTAGAAAATCCTTTATGCATAAAAGTTTAACTGTAAGTTGCTTCACGTTTCTGATTTCGAGATATCACATCAATTTCCTCAAGTTATTTTTGTACACCATGGCTCAATTTCATACATCATTAGGCTAACTGCATCAATTCCATTTTTGTGCCAAAGTTTTCAATTAAAGTGTCATTTATCAATATTTTCACACCTTAAGGCATATTATTAAGATAGAATATAATATAAAACTTTTCCTATACATTAGCAGATGCCAGCTGTGTTTGAGAACTGCATTTTCTTAGGTTGTATAATTAGTATGAAACATATTTTTCATCCATGAAATATTTTTAAGTTAAAACAAATAATAATAGTGTTCCTTTACTTCCTTATACCGACATGATTTATCGTATGATGTCTGCCTGATGCCAAAAATGTTGTTAATTTACACATGCAAATTATATTTCGTTGTCACGAAAGGAAAATCTAACATGCGCCACGGTATATATTTGTAATATCGAGAAGTTATTAGAAATTGGTGGGCCCAAAACTGAAATCTGCTTGTGTAGTACATTTATTGGCGAAATTCAGGCACGCGCGACTGTTTACAACCACTTGAAAACAAATGTATCTCAAATTTCAACGCAATAAATATTGAAGCAAGTCTCTTTCGAACGCCACATGGATAAAGTATTGGCAAAGTTTGAGATTGTCAAATTTATAAACCCGAGGACTGAGACCTTGCCGCATGTTTTCGATCATTGCAATTGCGTAGTTTTAGAATGAAATTGAAACATTACCATCAATGATCTTACATATATATATAGAGCAATATATGTCACAATAAGAAGCGAGATTTGTTTAATTACCGTGATTGTTTGAATTACTGTGTCAGATATCTAAATGTTTTTATTTTATCCCAATATACTTTCAGTGTATGCCAAATGTTCAGTATCTTCAGATGTGAGTGGCTTTTTATTTAATATAGTAAACATCGCAATTAACAAATTAATTATTATATGTATCTAAGTCTATAATATCCTGTTTTGAAAACGAAATATACCCTAAGGCTTTCTACAATAATATATCATTCATCTTAAATTGTTCAGGTTGGCATTCAAAACGCCATATGCTTTAAACTTCAAGTTCTAAAAATTGCGGATTAATGTATCTTTAATTCAACGCGACTATTGATCTTCATTCCAATAAAGCCATTTGCCTGTTTTCAGTTGGGCAAGTTGTGCGCAGCGTCCTTGGGGATCCGTTACTGTTACATTTTAATCGGTCTTTACCAAACCCAAATGTGGCTAAGAAAGCTTTGCGATACTTGGGCAGTCGCCATCCGTACACGATCGGATCAACTACAAAATTTAATAATTCCACTGGAAAATAATACCAGACAAACATCTCCGCAGGATGATTGAGGGGTAATGGCGTGTGGAATAACCTATAACATAGAACTATCTGCATTGCAATCATATAAGGAAACACTGTAACAACCAATATTACTGCTAGAGTTACTACGACGATAGTGACTTCATATTCTCGTTGTAAATCTGTTGTTTTCTTGTTCTTCGTTGAGCTTGCTTCGTTATTGTTATGTCCGTTATAAACTGCGCGCGTTTTACTGCTTTGCCACAGAACACGTAACTGGCGGAAGACTTGCACGTACTCAATCACGATACACACAATCACGAGTTCAAATACAATTGTAAGAAAAAGCTGCACTTCCTCCCGTTTGTAATTAATCAAGCCTCCACACACAATGGCGAAAATCCAGACGGCAATACAATATATTGTGGTTTTCTTCTTTGACATCAATAATGTTGCTTTAAATGGGAACACAATAGCTATAAGACGTTCTGTGGACATAACAAATATCGTGAAGAACGCGACCTGCACGGTGATCCAGAATATTGTCAGTAGAGTCATTTTTGCTTTGATACTATAAAGTTTTGGCATGAACCCCTCTGCTGCCCAAACGATTGAATTGACGCCCGTTACGAAATCAGCTATTGCCAGATTATAGATAAAATATGAGCCAAGAGAAGAGAAAACTTCACGTGAATTAAACGTCATTGCTATGAGCAGTGCGCCGTTGAATATCACCGAAGCAATTCCGACGATTAAGACCAAAGAATGCACAACTTTGTCATTTTCAGGATCTCCTTGTGTCGTGATGTTTGTCAGGTTACCTTCCATGATATGCTCGCGATTTCTTCTTTCAATCTAAACTCCAGTGTCGATTGTGTTGTCGTCTCACCACAACAAGAGCCAAGTTTATTTAGTTAACAGAGCACTCACGCTGTTCCTGTTAAATCGAAACGGACGTGAAGCACAGCAGTGAACAAGGTCTCAAGCTGCTTGGGCATCAAACAAATGATCTAATCCTACGGTATCGTCTTTGTCTTCTCGTGTCCTGTGATCTGATGTGTATATTAAGATTGGGTCTGTCTAGTTCGTTGCTTATATACGCTGATTTCAAGTGATAAGGGTCGGACCACAGTACAGAACGCAGGTGGAACTAGCTATGACAGATATAATAATCACATTGTCATTTCAACAAAATTTGACACTCATCCCAAAATGACAAAATTCTAATGAGCTACGGTGTGTCTTTATGCCCTTCTTTTCAAGTGGCGTACTTCATTACCAGTCTATAATGCCGCTTGTAAAATTACCCTAAGAAGAATAAAACGACCGAGGGCTTCAATAGATCACAATATAGGATCTACACTTCACAGGGGGGTGGTGTGGGGGCTGACTCGGATCAGTTTAATTTGCGTTGCGGTTATAATTATTAATATGCGTTTGCATTTAGGGATGACCTTTTAACTTTTATCAAAGACCGACCTCTTTGTTGGACTAAAACTTCAATTTAAGCTCAAAAACTGACACTCCTTCATGTGTTGTAGTACATGACTTGATGTACAAAGATACAGGACCGCAGTTCGGCCGCTGTAACTAATACAAAGACCCAAATATTGGCTTGTCTGCTAAGAACATTCAAATTCTGACAAAATTTCGTCGCTTTAATGTCGTATACAACTTGGTGTGCATATCGTATATAAGATATTTAATACTGTTTGACCTGCTTTCCCTGTAGGCCTAGCTAATAAAATCACTTAGTATTAATTATTGGCTTGTCGTATACAAACTCTGCTTCAAAAGCTTCAACCCCATATATATATTTTTATATATATATAGTTTGTCCCTTGTCCTTGACCTATCTTTTTATATTATTACTATTAGTTACAGATGTTACAGGAACCGTATGGTTTTTTATGCATTCCATATCATATGTGTATTATACCTAAAATACTTCAGAGTTCTTAATTATTCTGATCTTTAAAGAATGCCTTGTGCAAAGAGCAACTTTCCATATTTTAAAAATATATGCATTTTAAATGTTGCACATTAGAAGACTTGGCAGTAAACTCGCAAGATGCGAGGTTTGAAAATTGCGACATTTGGTTAGAAAATTAACATGGCATGTTCTCTGCAAGACGCGGTAATTAAAACGCGCTTTGACATTTTGTTGAATTTGTGTATAATTTTATGAGGTTGTGTGAAAAACGTTGTTGATTTAAGTTTTCTTCCTGGGATAATGCTACAAATGAAATTTGTCTACATCTTGTAGTAATTATGACACAATATTAAATTTAATCATAAAACTCAGGAATACCGAATGGAATATTAAGAGTTATCATTAATACATTATATATGATGAACTGTTTGTTGCTTAAATGTGGCTTTCGCTGAAGAATATAGAATTATTCAATAAATAAAACTTTCTAGACCTGAAGCCAGAGTAATAGGCGGTCCCACAAATTTAATACAAATATATATTACTTTAAAAATCTTACACCTTGGGGCCTCATAGAATATTTTGTCATACTTTTTGTCGTACTCAAATTCTGTTGCAATTTAGCCGAATATATACAACCACAAATAGAAATACTTTAAATTCAGTTGCCGTATGCTTTCTCACGCTCAAGTATTTTAAAGCAGCCATAATTTAAAGCTGAGTCATAACATAGCAATAAAACTGAGTAATTTTATTAATTTTTATCGTAATTGTGAGTTAAAAGTATTGAAAGCTCAAATAAATCATTTATGCAGTGCAGTACATTTGTGACTGCTATATAATGTACAAAAATTTCAAAATAACTGCTGCCTAATGTGCAAATTATGCTGTCGGTTTTATTTTCCTATTTTAAGTAGTTTATCTGCTAATTGGGAAGCTATATAAGGATTAATAAGTACACCCAGTTCAAATCATTTTCCAAGTTATAGACATACATAATTTGTTTCCAGACGAATTTTAATAGCTTATGTTAAAGCGAGACGATATCTTTCGAATTTACTAGTAATTTGTGTAACTTGTTTACCAAACTATCTACATTTAATATGCAGCAGAATATTACTTCAAATTTAGTGCCTATTGGCTATAGCTTTATGTATGACCACAATGTGCCGTTTTTAGGACGAAATGCATCATTAATGCAAATAAAATCACCTGCTAAAAAGTAATCATTTTAGGTTTGCTGAAATGCAGTCATTTTAGGAATTTACCAAATGCAGGCTATCAACAGTTATGTATAATTTTATGTCCAGCACGTGATATTTTTTATGGCCAAAATAATTTAGACAACTTACTGAAATGCAGGTTTTTGTATTCGTTGTTTAGGTCGTAATTGCATGAAGAGGTCAAGGGTAACCAAGTTTTGTGCAATAGTGAGGTTCAGATTTCACTACCACTATACTGCTACCATTTTTGGAGATGAGTGCTAAGCCAGCGAGAGGTAGTGGCATAATGGTAGTAGAAGTCAAATCTGAATGTCCTCTCTAGTAATATAACGGACAGTGCCAACCGTTATGATTGGATACTTTAATTAGATTTCCTTTGGACAGTGTATCTATGTTGCGTGATACCCAGCGTGTGAAATTTTGATCAGCCATATAGGCATGGCATGACTATAATATTGAGTGTTTTCAACACTGAAGTTGTTTTTAGATTCGACAGGAAATAATTCAATAAACTTTGTCGAGTGTTTAGTCCTTAGGGAACTGATTCTATCTCTTGTTTGGTCAGATTAATTAGAGAAATACTCGTCAACTTAATATATCTATCTTCGCCACTAGCGAAGCACGACTGCCCTTTGCCTGTAAGTTAAGTTTGCTACTGTAGATGGGGGTACCTGTTCTGAATTGATGTGAAATTCTGAACCCTCCTGTAAACCTATTTTCTTGCATGGATGTATTTATTCACTGTGTCAGTCTCATTAGGTAAATTTTATTCAACCTTGTTGAAAGCGGCATTTTGAAAAAGAAAAAGTTTAATTATAAACTGTAGATTATTTACTCGTGTGAGGGAGATCAAACTGACAGATTCTTCCTCAGGGAAATTGCTTTTGTAAAAAATGGCATTGTTAGCTTTTCAGGGATGTAACCCGTCAAAACGTTCAAAATACGTTAGTGTTTTATTATGTATAGTTAAATTCTTGACTGAAGACAGTGGTTAATGTGAATTTTAGAAAGGATACTTTAATAAGTAGAATCCTTACACTGGGGTCTTTCAAAATTCTTACTATGCAAATAGTATTTTCAGTTTTCGTACTAATTTCAATTTTCATTCTATAGATACAGTATGGTCTATAGATATACTATTCTCTATGAATTTAGTATTCAGTATTTTTTCCAATGCTAATAAGCAAATGTAAGTCTATTTTAGAAAATTATTTTGGACAAGTTATCTATTTCCCCTCATGAGGATCAATTGTGTCGTAGTTTAAATATTGACAATCGTCTTTCCACAGCGTTGTAGATCTGAGTACAATTAACCTGGCCATCTGCTTCGCACCTTTAATAGATTATGACTTTCATTTAAATTTTCTTTGCGTTGCATTTTAGCAGTTGCCATTTACTGTGTGATACTGCTGTGATTCATCTTAACTACATTACTATATGCCTTTTGTGTCAGTGATTAAGGAGATGGGGATTTCATGACACAAATTTGACTATGCAGCCCATGACGTCATGCGGTATTTAAAAAACTCCCTTTATTTTTAATCAAAAACATTCAAGTAGATCTGAGGGTTCATATATTAATTATAACCCCCCAACATTCTTGTATCCGTTTTAAACAAAGCCCGTTGTAAGAGAGTTTAGACTTGTGATGTTTTCAACCTTTCTAAGAATGCCTGAAAAGCTTTGAAACTACAGATATGTGGTACCCCACATGTCAAATTTTTTGATGTGCAAATACCGAACATTTGGCGTTTGCTTTGGTCAAACTAACAGCACTGTACATGATCCCGTAAAATCGAGAGTAAAATTGTTGATTAAGCCAGTTTATATACTAACAAAAATCATGTCACGTTCTAAACATACAGTAAATTATCACATTATGCACAGCCGCTTGCAAAGAAGAGTATATATTATAGGTGATTAATATCTTTCGGTGTCATAAGACGTTGTAAAAACATGAGATACATGATATTAAGTTCTTTTATCCAAACATGCGAGTGTTGTCTGTTCATATATACTTGTGTTATTAGAGTTAAGCTATTAATTTAATCCTTTTCATTGAAGAATATAATAGATTTGTCTGTAACATTTCCTAACATTTCCTAACATTTGCTAACAAGCTAAAATTATCGCCTTAGGGTTAAGAGAGAATTTCTAGTGATTGACAATTTGTACATGTGCACATGTAGTAAAACTTTGTACTATTTTAATGATGACAGCTTTTTTAATTTATAGGGATTTATTAGTTATATATTTCCAATATTAGAAAAGTACATTAACAAAGTTACAACAGGTTAAACGGCATTATGTGAGCTGAAATTGCAGCAACAAGAGAGTCGGAATTCCAAGCCCAATATTTCAGCTCTGGTGTAATTATAGGAGTTGCAGAAGAATCATGATGTTGTACCTCCTATGAAAGGGCACACACATTTCATTAAAAATCCTGCCAAGTTTTGATCTGCATGATAATACCAAGATGTTAAGGGATGTCTCTATGACCTACACTCACTTTGTGTGCGAACAAATAATCGATATCAAAACAAGATAAGTCCGAGTTAATAGAACAGCGCTTGATAGTCACAGCAAGATAATATTGCTTCCTTTGAGGTGCTTAGTAAGAACATGATAGAGAAAGACCCGACATAAGATAACCGTTTTAAATATCCGTATTTGATCAGTCTGCTGTGATCATGCCGCGGTTTACCTCTGTGCCACTAAACATGGCGGTGGTTATATACAAATATCAAGCTGTTATTTGATTTGTGATATTAATTTGTAATTTTAAATCAGCTGAGACAATATTCTATAGAAAGCAAGTCTGTTGAGGCGGTTGACTGTTGTTAATATATAGCCAAAGGTATATGGGTTACCTCGTCTCTGAATTTATTTGAATATTGGTCCGCCGGCAAAAGTGTACATACAACATACCCATGCATTCCTTTTGATGAATAGTTGTATTATTGCTAGCCTCACCTTGCAAAATTAGAGATAATTTTGTTACGTTTTCAGTAAAGGCTGGCACTTTTCAAAGAGCGACGTTCTCCAGTTCAGATTAAGGAACCACAGAAGACACTTATCTTCCGTGGGTTTTAAGACAATATTGGAATGCCCCCCTCACCCCACCCCCCCTCCTTATGCTATCTTCCACTGATTTGCACCATGTAAACAGCCACGGAAGTTAGAAGAGTATATTAAATAACTAAACAATCATAATGAATTTTATCGTTTTTCTTCAGGTTATTCAAGGTTTCAAGCCAGCTAAGTTCCACAGAGAAGAATCAATTAATATTTGAAGGTAAAGCATTTAATAATTATTGTGTCGACCTAGACCTCCGAACAGCAGGAAAACGATGGTGTGCGCATGCTCGTGTTAATAGTATTCTATGAAGTATAACATGAAGTATGTATATCTAAAACCACTGACACGATCATGGTGCATTTGACTTCTTACGTTACCTAGCAACAATCGTGGTGGTATCGCCATACAAATACAAAGAACAGTATTTATTAGTTGAATGAGTTGGGAGCATAATTTTAGATTGATGGCGTAAACATTTAGAAATTAACAAATTACTCAATCAATTGATAACATTTTTATCATGAAAGCTTAAATTAGATTCATTTGTCCGAGCTTTTCCCAATTATATTCATGACTCGTTCCAATCAGAAAAATAGTGCTAATTGAAAAAATATTTTGTTTATTGCAAAATTTCCTTCAGACTTAGTGACTAAACATGTTAATTGACATGTGTCCTCCCACCGTGTTGTTTCGTGATTGGGTGTGTTTGGAATTCTAATTTTGGATTGGCACAAGTTTTATTCTTCGTTGGGTGAGGGAAATTGACATGTTGAAATATACCAATAAGATAGTTTATTAATATAGAATGATTAATACAATAATAGAAGAACTTTTTTCATTACTTTTTTATTCACACAATTTGCCTTGAAGCAGGCTCGACCCCCAGGGCACTAAGCTCCAGTAATGGGTCCCACACACAAAACAAATTAAAAAACGAGTATCAAATAAAGCCATGTTGAGGTGTCCACAATATCTGTTTATTAAAACATTGATAGATCAATTGTAATAGGCAAATTACTGATTCGCGATTACAACTTGACGAATTATCTGTGGCACTTATTCATGTCTGTGCCCCTGAGTGGAACAAAAGAAGGTTCTCATTGTTGTCTGGACACAGATTATTGTCACAGTAGTGTGACATATAGTCCTGTTTGGATTTTATCACGTCCAAATAAAAACAAGAATATTTTATTTAAAATAAACACATGTGTATTTGTGTCGATTTTTATATTGCCTTCACGAGTGTCAGTTGAAACAGATGTAAGTATTGAAAACATACATTTTCATGTTTCAACCATGCGACTCTATTTCATGCATCAGTAGTTCCCCTCAATAATTCTTCTGTATAGTCGATAATTAAATTGATCTAATATTTAAGTCGCGTGGCAAACTGTTTATAGATTGTCAGCGCTACATTCAGGCCAAAAGCACATGCACGCCTTAAGGAATGGTAAAATATTCAGCCATTGTAATGTATAAGAATGTCAGTATTGATTCTTGAGTTAGGTAAATCATGCAAGAACATAGACATAGTGGATATGTTGTATCCTGGATTGTTGTAGGTGCCTCGTACCCTTGCCTTAGCTTGCAAAACGTTGTACTACACACATGCAGTTCTCACCAGCTGCGAAAGTGAAAAGAATAATGCATGTAAACGACTTAGTACTTGGTGTTAGTCATATTGTTCTATAGTCTGACATCCACGTAGTGTCTTGAGGATAGCATGACGATATTTGGGCAGACGTAGGGCGTAGACGACAGGATTTAGCAAAAAGTTTGTCAGTTCTACTGGGAAATAATAGTGAATAAATAACTTAAGACTTGGATTGTTTTTTGTCGCAACACTGATTTGCCCTGCTATCATGTATGGTAGAACCGTCACTATGAGAATCATGGTTAATACTGCAACCACTGTAGTTAATTGATACTCTCGTTGTAAATCGCTGTTGCCATGGTTACTACTCAATTGCAAAGGCAGACATTGACGACGCTCTGCCAGTTTGATGAAGATTTTGTAGTAAAGAAAACACGTGACTAGGATGGTGATTTCGAAGAATAATGCGAGGAATAGTGGGGCTGTTTCTGTGTAGAACGCCATGCAGAGTCCACAGAGTCCTGACAGAATCCAGGTTAAGATACAGCTCTGTATAGTCCGGGTTTTACTCAGCCAAAGATTGGCTTTGAACGGGTGTAATATAGCGATGTATCTCTCTAAACTCATGATAAAAATAGTGAGAAATGACGCTTCAATGCTTGTCCAAAATATTGAAAATGACGCAATTTTGAGCCGTTTAGAAAACATAAATGAGTTTTTGATTCCCCAGAGAGAGGAATTCAGGCCAGTTAAAAGATCAGCAATGGCGACATTCGCCACGAGATAAGCCCCGTTTGATGTGAAAATCTCGCTTGCATTCCTGATCATTGCGATCAGAAGTAGACCATTTAATATCACTGCCATCCCGCCAATGATTGTTGTCAGGATATCGTATGGAGTTTGATCTTGATTTTTGCTCTTTGAGTTGAGAACGAAAGTGATATTTGTTGCAGTTGCATTCAATATTGGAGCGAGCATCTCGCTCTGTGATGAAACGTCTTAAACAGTTTACCAATCTTCACTTGAGTGTCTTTTTTATGTCTAAGCAGACTTCGAAATGTTTACCAATGCAGACTGTCAACTAGCGTTCATCAGATTTGCATTCTGTGATAGCATCTTCATTATAAAATGAAAAAGTTGTTATGAATTTCCCTTATAGTTAATATTTTACAGCTTTAAGTCTTCCAGGCAAAATAAAAACATGTAAATTGTCGACCGCATCGCCTGCTGTTGTTCACACCAGTAAACGATATTTTTATGATTTCAGTATACCGAGTTCTTATTTACCAGCCTTGAGTCTTTTTCCACCAAACTCTGGGTCCCATCTGGCTTTGAAATGATTTATATCAGCCGTTGGAATTAAGCTAAATTAATGTTTGTCAAATTCAACGTCCGAACTCTCCTTATTTAGTAACGGTTTAATCGCCATATCTAACTGCGTGCTGCAGCAGAATTTGAAATGATTTAGCAAAAAATGAAGCACTCACATCACCCAGCTGTGTATCTGATTGGGCAACATTTTCAGCGCACATCCGTTTCTAGAACTATAACAATGCTACTGACTTCATTCAATTTTAATGAAAATCAATTTCAGTGTTAACATATTTCGCTGATACGTGCTTAAATGTTTCAACAATTTTCACGTGCGGCAAATGAGGGTAGCGTCCAACGGAAAATATTTTTAAGTATATAGTTAGGAAAAAAATGTGGCATGTTTATCAATGTGATTTCATTAATAGCTGATAAGAAAAACACAGAGAAAATAATGACTGGAACGAGATTGGATATCTGATACAAAATCCCAGGTTTTAAATTAATTTTTCCCAGAAAATGTCATTTATATTTTTAACATCACAGTAAAGGAAAGATTTTCATTACAGAACACTTGTATCTTATACAATTCCCACGCTCATGTTGTATATATCACAGAACTTTTCAATAAACACCCCTTGTGAGCTTTAGAAAACATTTTCGTGTTTTTTTTTCAACTTTGTGTTTTACTATCAAGAAGAAATATGTACTACTATAGGGAGTCCAAGAGCATTTTTAATTGTCCACTGTAAAATCTCCCACTCAACTCTTTGTCGGCTTGTCAGCTTTGATTAAGAGGGCTCGAAAACTGTTTTCAACTCAATTTAAAATGAATGAAAGCTATAAAAGTAATGTATTTTTGAATTACCTGTAATTTGAATGTATAACGATGGACGCTCAGCTGCAGTAATCTCTTTTAATCGCCTGTTCAGGACTTGCCGACAGTGTCATAATATAAAAAATTGATCTTAACATGACTCAATGTTTCTCAACTGAATTTTACTGTGAACTTAACCGTAGAATGGAGAAGAGGTTTTGAAGCCATTGAATTTTGTATGAAATGTTTGCCAAACCCTTTTAACTGTCTAGAAATTCAAAAAAGTTGATTACGTAGTAGTAGCATTTGCATTTAGATTTAATTACATTTATCTTTTAAACATGTATGTTCATTTCCTCTGGAAGAACACGTTTGTTTCACACTTAAATATACAACTACATAGTGTCCTTTTTAAAACATATTTTAATCAAACTTTGAAGTTTTAATATGGCGTATAAACTACACTTTATTGCGTAATTTAAATACGATTCAAAAATTATGTGTGAAGTTATCATTTCCCGTAGACGTGACGTATGCTAGGTCAGCATAAATGCATACTTAAGTACATACATATGTTTTAGAACGCCTTTCGTCTGCAAATTATAATGAATTGAAGTGTTGAACCACGGCAGTTCATTGGGATTTGGGGCATCTCACTTGATAGAATTGCAGAAGGATTCGCAGGCTTGATTCCTGCCAGAGGGCTTAGGTCTAATAAATGTATCAAATTTATTGTACAATACTACCTACACTGGACCTCCTCTTTGAGATATCGTTTTTAGGTAGTTCAGATACAAACCACGGCAGTTTATTGTACAATATACTACCTACACTGGACTTCCACGTTTGAGAGATCGTTTTCAGGTAGTTCAGTTACAAACCACGGCAGTTTATTGTACAATACTACCTACACTGGACCCCTACGTTTAAAGGCCCATCTACACGATACGACTAGTCATTTACGATTCTTATCCTGGCGTATGCACTCGAATAAATGCGTGTAAAGATGTCATATTTCAAACTTCGCCATAAACGGATGAATAGGAATAGTGGCGTCAGCAATCGTATACGACAGTCGTATCACAGAATAGGAAGTTATACCAGAAGCGTAACTCGAGCAAACATTTGTCCACGTTTTTACTGAGCGATTCGTCATCAACACGTCATCAATCACGCCATCCTGGCTAGTACAACCGGCACTTTGTACCTACCAAATCCTGATAAAAACTTCCGGCTGTACTAGCCAGGATGGCGTGGCCTGACGTGAGCGAGTTAAAATTTTCGTGGACGTCAAACAATAAGGGAAACGACTAGAGTTACGCTTCTGGTATAACTTCCTATTCTGTGGTCGTATCGTGTAGATGGGCCTTAAGACACTTTTTCAAACACAAGACTGCACATACGACACAATTGAGTTTTAATAGACTGCTTTATTTCATTTTCAATAATTTAACATTTGATAACTATCCTATTTACAGCAGACTGCTAAGGTGGCCATAGGTTTAGGAGAATAAGAGATCTTAGGACACAAACTGTGACAAGCTTTCACCGTGACGTCAGGTTGGCCATAACGACATCCATTCAAACCAACACATGACGTGGCACTGTATCCAGCCGGGCAACGAGCCACTGAACCTGGGGTCTGGATACGAATACATACGAAGGGAGGGCGAGCCGCGCCCGGTGCACCTGGGGAACCTGAGAACGAGAGAATCACATTAACCCTAATATAAATAAATATGTCAAACGTGGGTTTCAGTAAGCGTTAGGGAGATGGTGTTCATCTTCAGTCACCTGTAGGAGCACGAATATTAAACCGCATCTCTCAATTCTATTTATAATTCGCTTCCGAACACACTGGCAACGAAAACTACTTATTTACAATAGACTGTATTCGCTGCCTCCATTTCGAGCTATTTCAAGTTCGACAAGTGTCTCTTAGCATTATGTTCTTACTCTGATAAACTGCATGATGGTGCTTCTAGCGAAATCCACTTATAGATCTCATATTTTGTTTTCAAATTTTTCTTGAGATGATCAAATTTAAAGTTGTCTCCTGTCGCTGGAGTCGCTGGACTTGGCCAAAACGTTATTGGTAAGTTTTCCGTTCATGAATTATTTAATACTTTATGTCAAACATTGAGTTAATGTTAATTCAATCTTCTCCCTAACATTAAGTCTAACATGAAAGGCTGCTTTCCGTCTTCCACATGTACGTGTATGCGCGGAAAAGTTTAAATTTTCTAAATTTTATTAATCCTGCACATAACTAAGTGCTGTCTTTTTATTCATCGAATTATTTCATAAGAAACGTTTAAATGGATTTAGACTTTTCTGCTTGTTTACTGAACAGCCTTTATACTAACATTGTTCCTAATTTTAATCCTACTTCTAAAACTAATCCCATCATTAATCCTAAGTTGATCCTAACTCCTGATGACTTCTTCAGACTGACCTTTTCCCCCTCTCTCTCCTTGTGCTCCATCAGCGCCATCTTTCCCGGGGGGTCCTTGTACTCCAGGTTCTCCAGTATCACCTTTAGGTCCAACACCTCCCGGAATGCCATCATCCCCTTTATCACCTTTTACTCCTGGCGTTCCATCTTTCCCAGGTTGTCCTGGTTCTCCCTGATCTCCTGGCGAACCTGGACTGCCATCCTTGCCCGCAACACCTGGGGCACCTTGCGTGCCTTTTTCTCCTGGAGAGCCAGGTTCTCCTGAAGGAAATAGAAACATTTCACAATATTGCTCGTTTTTCCGTTTGTTTTTTTAACATACTTTGAGGCGTCTTAATATCACTAACGACTTGGAGTGTATGTTGTAAATTTTCAAACGGAACATTGTTTCAAGAAAAATTCATCTCGAAAATGTCTTATTTTGTGGCCGTTTATTGCCATGGTATCAAGACAGTGATACGATGATGGTTTCCTTTATAATATAGCAATGAATTTTCCCAAGAAATATCAATAAGTTTAAGTTCTTTATGAAATATCCCGATCTATCACCTTGTACTCCAGGATTGCCATCCATTCCTTTGTCTCCTTTATCCCCCTTTTTCCCTTCATGTCCAACAGGTCCTAGTTCACCTCTTTCCCCCTTCATCCCGTCCTGTCCTGGTCTTCCATTCTCACCATTACGCCCAGGTTTACCCTCGGCTCCACGACTTCCTGGTTCACCATCCTCGCCATCTTTACCATTTGTTCCTGGGGCTCCTGGGCCACCTGTGTGAGACATGAGGTCAACATTATATCCACAACACTCGGAATACACATAGATTATGTATCCACATATATCAATATATATCCTACCTGGTTCGCCTTTTTGTCCCTTGGGTCCAGATACACCATTATCACCTGGTTTCCCATCTGATCCATCTTGACCATGAACACCTTGTTCACCCTTGATCCCCTGCATTCCTTTATCACCCTGCTTTCCTGGTACTCCCTGGATACCTTGCGGTCCCTCTGGCCCCCTGGGTCCATCTTCACCCTGTTTGCCTTGTTCGCCTGGTTCACCTTTATCCCCCTTTTCACCTCTGTGTCCGCTGGACCCCGGAGCTCCGGTCTCACCAGGTGGCCCTGGAGGTCCTTCAATACCAGGAGCACCGTCTGTTCCATTTCTTCCTGCTGGACCTTGCGGTCCCGGACGTCCTGGAGGGTCTGGAATTTGAGACAAATTATTAAACTCCTGCCGTGGAATCAGAACTGTCAAACGGATAATTTTGGAACCGTACTGAACACGAGTTCACACAGGTCACATGAAACCGAAAAGATCCGAGTACCGATATGAATTGTCATGTGAATAAATGGACGAATTGACGTACAGTTCCGAATTCCTCCGAATATTTTGATGTTTAACTGACAAAGATGAAACGTTTGAGCTCCTGTAGTTTGGGCGCGAAATAAATCTTAATTTTGTAATTCACACCCAAGCCAGGACAGCTCGACGTTGAGACAGAAATGCAATTTTTTAGGCTGTTTAAACCATGGATAATAAAATAAATGGATAGGACTCTAGCTGACGTAAGCAAAAACAACCTAGTTGCAATCTGTGACGTCACGCGTATTGCAAAGTTCTCGGCATTTTTGTTGTTTCGCTATACTTTCTGCTTTAAAAGAGTAATATTGAAGCATAAACTGGTCTAATTGTTTTAAAAACATGCCTAAGCCACGACAAAGTATTCAAGGTAAATGTTTTTCGTCTTTGTTTTGCATTTTTTTACATTTGTAGCTACGAAATTGGCGTCCCCAATTTTAACGAAATTTGGGACGCCTTTTTCACTGTTTAGTTCTTGAAATATTTGCTAAAATTGACTGGGAATACTTAGAGATTTCATCGTAGAATAGCGTAGTTATATTCATTTGCTCTTTGACTAAAATAATTTAGCTGTATTATTGCTAAACATGCCGTTTTGGAGAATTTGGTTTGCAACTAGGTTTCAACATCCAATCACGCCATCAGCCCATTGAAAACATTAGGTCACGTCAGCTAGTTTCCTATCCATTTATTTTATTATCCATGTTTAATTAAACACACTGAACTTTGAACAAGGAAATTGAGAAGTTACATACAATAGTAGCTACGACGTTCCAGCGTGGAATCTAAAGAAAAAGGGTAAAATATATTTTATTTGTAGTAGATTATATATAGCTGCAGATCAGATATGATATTTGTATATTAATAATAATAATATAGTAATCATCTTCATTTTTACCGAGGTGGCCTGTATCACCAAAAGATGCCTTTCAACGGAGCTCTGCATTAATGTCTATAATTCATTTTGCAGGTTGTGTATGCTGATCTCGACTCAAAAGATTCACGTGAAGTATTTTTGAAATTGGAGAATGAAACCGCTGGCCATAAGGATCTTCACAGGTTAGATTACACCTACTACTTTCAGATGCGGGACGGGAAAAATTATCATTACAGAGTCAGTTTTATACTAGTCTAGTCTAGCGTGTTAGAGTATTGATTGGAAGATCAGGTTACTCAGTTATTCTTGACTGGCCATATATAGTTGAAACTACAACTTACCAGCGTCTAGAAATGTTGGGGCAGCATCTAAAAAATAAGTTTAAAAATTTAGAAAATCTAAACAGGATTTTATTTCTTAATCATGCAGAAAGTGAACATTTTAAACTACATATTAGCACAGTGTGATGTTACTTACAACTTACGACAACTGCTGTAGCCAGCAACACACAGATAAGCGAGCCCAGATGATTCATTTTAGTATCGTCTTCTTATAATCACAGTAAATGTTTTACACTCTCTATGCAGGCTACATTCTGAGCTGGCTTTTATACCATGCCACACATTTGAAACAATCAAAATTTTTACAACGAAAATCATCTCTCTTGGAGACATATTGTATATAAACTTGGATTGTTTTATTCGCCAGACAATGAAGTTAACCGTGGATAATAGAGTTAACTCATTAAGTGAGATTGATCGAAGAATTGTTGGCATAATGTCTTTCTAGGTTGCTATGCAACAGACGGCGTACACTTGTCCATTCTTTGTAAACTCGATGTTTCCGGTGCAAATTTTCGTACAGTAATATTAAGATTGATCAGCGAAATTGGTCTTTCTCAGTTGCTATGCACCACGCGACTTTTATCAGCCATGAATCAAGGTCTTTGGAAATTGATTGTTTCATCACTTTCTTAATTCATATAGACACAAGTCAATTTGAGATGTATATTATATTTTCCGAGTACAGACTTTTCCCAATGTAATGTATAAAGAATGCAGGTTGGATTCCTGTCAGTGGGGCTATAGTTGCATTTTTCACAACAGCTCCTGGTTATGTTTAATAAATGGATAATATTTACACTCCGAACTTAGCCATTCCGAAGTTGATGAGAGGTTTGGGGACGAGTGTTAAAAAGTGCCCAAATTAAGAAATGAACCAAATAACTAAAAAGACCACCTCAAAATTAGTACATATACAAAGTTTGAAGACGTTTACATGAATATCCTTCGAATAATAAGCTTTCGAATATCGCGATATTTACTATGAAATGTATTGTAATTTTTGTTTTGGGGACGCGCGTCCCAAAAACAATATTTTAATCAGTAATTTCATAATTTTCGAAAGCTTATTATTCGAAGGGTATTCTTGTAAACGTCCTCAAATTCTGTATACTTACTAATGTTGAGGTGGTCTTTTTAGTGATTTGGTTCATTTCTTAATTTGGGCACTTTTTAACACTCGTCCCAGTCCACTCAACAACTTCGGAATGGCTAATTAGTTCTATCAAGTGAGATGCCCAAAGTTCTGATATAAAGAGGGCGCACTATGATGGCAATGGAGACATGTTTATAAATTAGCAGCAAGAGATAACTCGTTTTAATAAATTATACCGATTGGTGGTAGAAATGTGTTTCGCTATCTCACATTCAAGATCTCACTCTGCATGATCTATAATCATGTTTAACTCAGCAGTGAGTTCTGTAAAACATCAGATTACTTTAAGGTAGCTCACATTCAAGAACATGTACTACCTCTGCGTGATCTAACCATACTTAACTCAGCAGTGAGTTCTGTACAACATCAGATCACTTTAGGGTAGCTCACATTCAAGAACATGTACTACCTCAGTATGATCTAACATGCTTAACTCAGCAGTGACTTCTGTAAAACATCAGATTACTTTAAGGTAGCTCACATTCAAGAACATGTACTACCTCTGCATGATCTATAATCATGTTTAACTCAGCAGTGACTTCTGTAAAACATCAGATTACTTTAAGGTAGCTCACATTCAAGAATATGTACTACCTCTGTATGATCTAACCATGTTTAACTCAGCAGTGACTTCTGTAAAATATCAGATTACTTTAAAGTAGCTCACATTCAAGAACATGTACTACCTCTGCATGATCTATAATCATGTTTAACTCAGCAGTGAGTTCTGTAAAACATCAGATTACTTTAAGGTAGCTCACATTCAAGAACCTGTACTTCCTCTGCATGATCTAACCATAGTTTGAGTTCTGTACAACATCAAATCACTTTAGGGTAGCACACATTCAAGAATATGTACTACATCTGTATGATCTAACCATGTTTAACTCTGCAGTGAGTTCTGTACAACATTAAATCGCTTTAGGATAGCTCACATTCAAGAACATGTTCTACCTCTGTAATGATATAACCATGCTTAACTCAGCAGTGAGCTCTAAAACATCAGATAAATTTAAGGTAGCTCACATTCAAGAACATGTTCTACCTCTGTATGATTTAACCATGTTCAACTCAGCGGTGAGTTTTGTACAACATCAGATAAATTTAAGGTAGCTCACATTCAAGAACATGTTCTACCTCTGTATGATCTAACCATGTTCAACTCAGCAGTGAGTTTTGTACAACAACAGATAATTTTAAGGTAGCTCACATTCAAGAACATGTACTACTTCTGCATAATCTAACCATGTTTAACTCAGCGGTGAGTTTTGTACAACATCAGATAAATTTAAGGTAGCTCTCATTCACGAACATGTTCGAATTCTACCTCTGTATGATCTAACCATGCTTGAAATAATGTTAAAACGAAACCGTTATGTCAACTTGCACATAATAAAAGTGGCTCTCACCAGAATTTTCTCGACTAAGCAAGTGTTGCTTAGCTATAGTTAAAAAAAAACATCAAAGATAAATCATTGGAATGTCAACTTGAAAATCATGTGTTAATTAATTACTTTGAATAAAAAATAACGTATAAACCACTGCATTTTATCACATGGCAACAGTTTCTTTAGGAACATGTTTTGCAGGATGGGTTTTTCTTTGAACATAATTCTTTGATATTATTTTCCCCGGATCTTGCTCTCAAGCGATATTAAAGCGGGAAGTTTTTCCTGTTAATTTAAACACAATCTCCTTATAGAGCGTACATACAAGTTTCCCGTTCTGTTTTGGTCACGAGTCTATTTAAGACCATGTATAATTGATGTCTGTCCCGCTTCAATCACTGTCTTTTCGTGGCTATATATAGGCTGTGTAGTGGCTACATATACTTCCATACGCATGTATTTTATAAATATATAGAGATACAGCCCTTCAGATTTGCATAGAAATTTTGAAATTGTTCGGAGGTTGTTGAAACCTAGTATACAAAGTTACAAACTAAGAATTGCATAGTATGATAAATTAAATTATTCTGAAGATTTTTCATTGAGAATTATAAAAATTGGCATCACAATATAGTTATTAACAGCATGTGAACTTTTTAAAAGCTGAGCTCAACCTTGTTCCTGGGATGCAGGTTGAAATTTTATGCAAATTAGATCACTTCAAGTTAAGTATAATAAATCATATTACTGTCAATGAATACAATAAAGTTCATTGCCTCCAACGCAATTTTTAACACTGTTTGAAACTTAAATAAAATATTGGGTGCAGAAATATAAGTGGATCTCTCCATAAGCAGACAATAGAATCATGTTGAACTTTGAACTCTCCCCCCACACACCGTATTTCGACGAGTTGACCAGTATACTCCACGAGTATATGCCGTATTTCCTTATGCTATAAACAGACCTGATTTCTACTTAGACTCTTAGTGGTTATAACTTAGAACACATCAAGCTGACTGCAGTAATATAATGTGGATAATTTTCTACAGTAAGAGAGATAATACAATTAGTAAAACGTATTTACATATACAAAAGACAAGATAGATCTCACATGGTCGAAGATGACTTGGTCACAACGACTAAATGGTTACTACACAATGTATATCGTTCAGTAATGAAATTTTATTGTGACTATATTTTCATGTTTTTGACAGAAACCTCGTCACTAGCTATATCTCTATAATCATTGGTTCTCATGTTGTTTTATTTCGTTACACAATTATTTCATTATAGTTCTGAATGTGTCTTTTATTTGATGCGTTTTAAACGATAATCTTCATGAAAAACGTAGAAATCATATGAAACACATTTTACGTCAAACGACGTGTCTTGAACTCTTCTATAAAAAACATGTTGTTCACGATAAAGCACATGGTTAGGGGTTATGAAAACATTTGCTAGTAATATGGTTATACGGAAGTTGTATGCTTCTGGTATCAATACCTTGGTGGCGTAGTCTTTAAATCACTTTTCACATCTCAGTCACGTGTTTCATCATCATTCCGGAGTGAAAATGCTTATGTGAAAAGAGTGAGTCAACGCTCTACCGAACGTCGTGGGTTTTCTCTGAGCATTCCAGTTTCCTCCCACCGGGAATGTAGCAGGGTGGAATATTTTGGAGTGAATTCACGACTGATTTGCGACAGTGTGATCAACGTCTTAATCACGACGTTTTTCATTACAATACTTGTGTTTCATTTTCTGCGCATGTATAAAATCCTTACGTATATGACTGTCAGAGGTGAGGAATTAGATATAATCCATCGATCTATATACCAGTATTCGATATTAACCGAATCCCTGTGTAACCATTTTGATTGAGCGTGACATTGCCCTTGTTAGCCCTTGAAAGTTGGCAAGTGCAAGTTGAGTGCCCTTCTTCAAAACTTGAATAAATGGTAATTAACATTATTAAATTTATGAATTGCGTTTTCACGGATAAAATATTCTTTGTATGTTCAAATTTTCATCATATATTTGTGGATACAAAAACTCGAACTACGTAGCTAGGGAAATAAATGTCAATTTAATCGAATTTGTAAGAAATCCTCAATCATGTGTTTTATATAAAATTAACAATTGAATCGGTATGTGAGAAGTAGAAATTTTTGTATAATAAATATAATTATCATAAGTTATAATATATAATTCAGGGGCCGGTTGTATAAAACTCTTAAATTAATCACTTTTTTAATCACTATTTTGTAGTTAAATAGTGATTAACTCTTAAATTGGCGCTTCTTATTGGATGACGTTCCCACTTAACTATAGTTAACTTTAATCACTTTTTTATACAACCGGCCCCAGAATAACATCTGCAATACGTATAGTATAGAAAGAGATAACATTAATAATCTCTATGATCAGAAACAATTTCTGTTATGCGTTGTGTACTTAAGACATATGACTCCGTCTTTCTACTTGCTAAGTACACGTGATATTGCAAGTATAAAGATTAATATCGTATTATCAAACTGTGATTAGGTTTGCCAAAGTACAAGTATTAAGGCTGCGTGAGTGCCCGGCACTAGTGCCCGGCACTAGTACATGCCCAATGTTCAAACTGCTTCCCAAAACATGTTCAGCACAGTGAGGACTACCTCTGGAAGTTTCTTGGGCGCTGTGCTTAATTTCAATTGGAAGCGTTGTGTTCAAACTAGGTGCCAAAACAATTACACCAGTGCCGAGCACGCAGTCTGAACGCAATCGAAGTATGAAATGAATTTTTATGCACGAGTACCCATACATGTTTGCGTACGACATGTAGCAAGCATGTATAACAAGTTTTAAGCTATATTTCATTAAAGTTGCTTCGGCGTTATCTTGTTTTGTTCCCAACTGCTTTGCTTCTATACAAAACGAATTCTCAGATTCTCTGTTCTGATTGGCTCAACTGGAAGAGCCTTTATGTAATACTCAATATGTAACAAATCATCAACAAGCTATGAACTGGTCAGGACTGTATAACAACCTATTTGCTAGAAATTCCAAACCAGCATTCATGCGGGCTCATATATATAGCACGTGGTATCATTAAAGTATTCAGTCTAATATACCACCGTCAAGAGATGTTAATTAATTGCATTAGTATAAGCTAAAAATATAACTTTTTCATCAAGCAAAATTGAAACACACTGTATAGTCAACAGTTTGAGAGCTCTGTTGAAAAGAGATATCTATACGCTAGGTTAAAATCTGTACTCAAATATAAAATCTAAATGCGTTTGTACTTTATTTTTCTGTATATAAATATTGTGCAAAACAAGAACTAGTAATTGTATCAATTACTTTTACTCCACATTTGGCGATGAAGCTGTTTATAAATTTGGCAAAAATAATGTGGGCCAATCTACAGGTGAAGTACATAGTAACCTGAAGTAACCCTAAACACGTAGTTTCTCGCCTAAAAACGCTACTCTCGAGCGTGTTTCTATGGTGCTTTGAGCCAGTTCCGTCATACAAGTTGAATAAAAAACATATTGTGAAAGGCGAACAAACCCAAGCGCATGCAAACCAACTTTGTTGGCAGGGACTTAGAAGATGGAGGACAATTATTGTCAGAATACACTTTGCAATTTTGCAATGATTAATGATATTTCTCACAGAAACAGCTAGCATATATTTTTATCGGAGTTTATTTTAGAAACGACAAAGCATTTGAAAAGCATACAAATTAAGATAAGATAAAATGAAAGAAAAACAAAGCCAATGTTGTAAAAGTGGACTTTGTTTTACCAAGCAGTAATATGCCAAACCGCAAAGAATGTTAAGAGCATCAACATAACTTCTAGACAATTAGAGAGAATATTAAAACTTAATTTTATTGATAATAGTTGCCATATAATAAGTGATATTAATTTCAATATACAATACAGATTATCTTAAGAAAAAACACATACTTAATATTAAAGCTTTTGAAGCCACCCACACTTAACCTCCAGTAAAGACGAAATATTGGTCCGATTTCCCTCTTACTTCTTTCATAAACTACTTTTCAAGTACTAAAGTTTCCGAGCAACGCTTTTTCACACGAATAAAATTTCCCCAGTTTTGCCTGGTTGAAAACGTATATAAAGGGCCAGAGAGTTTAGACCAGGCAGTTCAGAACATTGTCGAAGACAGAACAATGAAGTCCGCTATTGTATTCGTCGCGTTGTTGGTCGCCTTTACATGTAAGTAGAAGACTATCAGAATTCTTATAATCTGTTTTCTATTGTTAGTGCTGTCGTAGGCCCTATAGTAATATTCTAGCAAGATTTGTTGCAGTATTTAGTTGAGATTGTTACCGTAGACTGCACTGTAAGTCATTCTCTAACCTCCTTTAGTTGAAATTGTTAACCTATCCGTGATATGGGAATATTTCAACAATTATAACATGCATGAGTTAATTTTTTGCTACTAGTTAGGTACAAAAGAAGGTAGAGTTACTTCCACACATGTGAACATATGCCTTTTCAGTTGAGTTTAGTCAGTTTGAAAAAAGTCTAAATGGATTTGTAAATGAGAAATGTCTGATTATAATGAATGGTTAAGCCGTTAATAATATCAATGCTGTGAATCTCTGATCATTTCTCATTTGCTTTTTATTTTTTTTCCAGACTCTGCTCCTGTAGAGGAAGGTATGTCGCTTACGTTGTTACCAACTCTCTCATTTTTTCGTAATTCGTAATTATGCTTTGTTTATATGGGAAAGGTTAGTTCGCTGACCTCAGAATGACACTTCGTCAAAACTTTTTTCCCTTCAAGATTGGTTTAGAAACAAACTTGGAGTAGGGTTAGGGTTAGGGTTAGAGTTGGTGTTTGGAATAGGGTTATTATTATTATTATTATTATTAAGAAATATTTACAGAGGATAGACATTTCCGTATGAACATACTGCTAAATGTTATTGTTAGTAAAACGTTTGCTTTGTTACGTTTTGTCACTCTGGAGCCAGTGAAGTAACCTCTTCTTGTTTATATTATAGATGAATTATCAGAAGTAGCCCAAGAAGGTAAAATATACGAAATTTTGTCATCTGTGTAAATCCCCTTATAGATAGAGCGTTTGCACTCATTCCCTAGGGACCAACTTAACCAAGCCATGGCGGCCATGTTGATGTTCCAGACAAAAGAGTCGAATTAAACTTCTTTTGAAAACCAACATGGCGGCTGTGACGTCATGTGCATACGCTCTATTATCCCGTTAACTTTGCAAGCATTCCTCTATTTCCCTACATAGTGATTACCTCTAATATTCAGTCAACGCCTCGCCGTTTTTGTCCGTTATCAGAGGATCAAACGCAACGTAATTCACGGTATACTAGTCTGTTTTCTAACCATCAAACTCAATTTTTCTTTCAGATTATAAAAAAGGCCATTATAAAAATGGTCGCTATGGAAACGGGAGAAGAGGTGGTGGTCTTGGAAACGGAGGAGGACTTGGTGGTGGAGTTGGCGGTGGAGTTGGTGGTGGAGTTGGCGGTGGAGTTGGCGGTGGGGGAGTAGTAGTTGGCGCTCCAGGTGCTCCGGGTGCTCCAGGTGTTACAGGTGCTCCAGGTCGCCGAGGTGCCCGTGGCCGCACTGGTGCTACAGGTCCCACTGGTCCAACAGGCGCACGAGGATCCCCTGGTCCAACAGGTCCACAAGGCGCACCAGGATTTCCAGGACCCAGAGGTCCAGCAGGACCTCCAGGTAAAAACGAAGACTACGTTGATACGACTGCAAGAAAATAGTTTCATCTCTTTCCACTTTCAGTCATCCGTTCTTGAATTCGTCCAGTTTCACGTTCAGCCAGAACTGAACTAACATTTTAACACAGAACATCATGCTTGTTTTCTTGAGCTATATATAAGTGACTGCAATTCCCGAACAAGGTCGTTTTCAGAATTTGGTTAGAGGATCGCATTACTCACTTAAACCAAACGGAACAATAAAGACATGTTTAAGAAAACATCATTGAACAAATTATGCTGGTAACATTTTTTCAATATATCTACCATTCGGAACTATCATTTGCTTTTCTACATTAGAACTGTTCTATATTTTAGTTGTTGTATCAACCTCCTTATTCCTTGCTAAAGAACATATCAACATTTAATTGCAGAATATTTGATTTGATTAAAACAATTAATTACAACATTTGATTCAAAACATTTCAATGAAACTTTGCTTACAATATATTATTCGACTAAAACATTTTCCTTGCAATCTATGTGTGTAGGCCCGACTGGTCCTCAAGGTGATACTGGTGATAAAGGAGAACCAGGATATCCAGGTCCACCAGGACCACCAGGTCCACCAGGACCTGGAGGTGCACCAGGTAACGATGGAGCTCCTGGAATTTCTGGTAAAGACGGAGATCCAGGACCAGCAGGTCCACCTGGCCTACAAGGAGAAAGGGGAGAGCGAGGATTTACTGGAGCGCCTGGCAGGGACGGAGTCAATGGCGCACCTGGAGAAAAGGGAGATCGAGGTAGGATGAGCTGAATGAGATATTTAATTTGTAAAACGATTTTAAAGAATAATGGACCACGAAGAACATGTGAAGCAAAGAAGACAACGTCCTGTGCATTCGAAACACTTTCCATAGTTAGTTGGTCTAACTAGGGAATGTTCCCAAAGAGAATCAATACTCCATGACGAGTTGAGCCAACGATGACGAAAACGACTTCAATTCAATGGACCTTTCCCCTTATAACTAAAATCTCGATCTAGACAAAAATTTCATCACAGCTTGAAAGAGCATCACAAAATTAGTAATATTCCAAAGTTTTGTTGCAAAATCTTGTAAAATGCGGATAATATAGCCGTGCGAAGTTTGCCGTTTTTCAGTCAAAATGTATTACAAACGGGAAATTGACATCCGATTCGGGTGTTGGGGCTGCAATTTCGGTTTGTAATGCAAAATGACTGAAAATTGCAAACTTCGCAAGGCTCTATTTTCCTCATTTTACAACATTTCGCAACGAAACTTTGGAATATTACTAATTTTGTGATGCTCTTTCAAGCTGTGATGTAATATTTGTCTAGACTTGCCTAGATCAAAATTTTGGTTATAAGGGGAAAGGTCTATTGTCCCAATGTATTACAGTTCATTTGGATAGTTTGTCTTGTGTTTGCTGTTTTAGACAATTGTAGTGACACTCGTGGTAGTAGTATGTTGAAGGCTGCATTTATTTCTATTTTTGTAGGAGACCAAGGAGGACCAGGTGCCCCCGGCGCCCCTGGCCGTGACGGTGCAGATGGTGCTAATGGCGCTGATGGCCAACCAGGTGCTCAGGGACAACCAGGACCAGTAGGACCCACTGGGGCACGTGGAGTTACAGGAGCTACTGGATCAGCAGGACCTGCTGGACCAAGAGGACCACATGGACTACCTGGCCCACCTGGACCTACAGGTAACAAAATATATTTAGTTGATAATACATCCAGAAGTAACAATTATATTTAATCGATCCTAGCGCGTTAATTTATGTGTATAAATAACTTTGGGCCTTATTATTATGTAATAACATATAACCCCATACAATTATTAACTATGGCACTATCATTCCAGGAGCCACTGGCGCACCAGGAGCACCAGGATTATCAGGCGTCAGACTTGTCCAAGGATCTGGTGGAGTTGCTCGATGTGATGCCGGTGAAGTTGGATTAGATTGTTCAAGTTCCTGTGGCAAGACCAAACGTCCTGACCTCAGAACATGCAAAGACCTTTGTGGATATGATGGGTACAAGTCCAAGTACAGTCATCTCACGTTGGTCTGCGCTCGTGTTGGAGGACATACTATATACTGAGAGGACACACTACCTAACGATATGCTTGCTACCATGTTAAAAAATTGATTTTCAAATAAATGCTATTAAACAATCCTTGTATTTCTCAACTTAAGTCGATATACATAATAAGTAGTAATAGCAGCAGTTCAGCTCATTTGAAGGTCATGGTAAAGCCTGTTTTTCACTAAGCGATTTGTTCGCATGAAGTAACTTTCCCTTTCTCATGTCAGCAACGGAAAAAGTCGCTTCGCGCAAAGAAATTCGCCTTGTGGAAAACAAGCTTAAGGGGGGACGGGCCCCCTCGCACAATATTGGGTACGGTCAGGTCATCTGGCAGGAAAACCTGCACCTTGTTTATTAGAGAATTCTGGCGCAGGATGCTGCATCCATAGGAGGCTTGAGATACCACTCATTTTGTATTTTGACAGTCAGAGCACTTCCGTTCATGTGTCTTCAATTTAGGACAAAACCAAGTGAGGGAAGATTGTGTTTTGTCATGGCAATTGATATCCGCTCTCGTGTCTTCACCAAACTTCAAAAACAATTTCTCTACAATTTTAGTGATAAATGCACACAAAATCTTATTTTCCTTTTTCCGTAAAAAGCGACAAAAAGTGTTTTTATTCTTGAAAGTATAGGGAAAAGTGCGGCATTTTTGGCCATTTTTGTATTTTCGAAAAACTGGCCAAAATAACTAACAAGTGAAGGGTTTAAGGTTTCCATTAGGTTTTTGTTCAATGTTTAGCAATTTTTTCGTTTTCCAAAACTTGACGAAATGTATTTTCATATTATTTGAAAAGTGTAAAAATGTCACAAAAGCAATGCCTTACTACTCCCGTTCATTTTTTTTCCACTTTCTTAATTTGTGAAAATGTGGCAAAAAAGGCAAACTTTAACTCCTCAACTTTAGCATCTTTTTTGAGTTTTGAAAAAAGCAGTCAAAAGTGGGAAAAAAGTGAAGGCTATAACAACCACGCGTTTGATTTTTTGCCACATCAAAATTAGTCCTTTACCGTTTTGGCCATTTTTATCACTTAATTGAAAATCACAAAAGTGGCAGAAATAGACCAAAAAAGTTTTTGTAACCATGATCTACCGACCCCAACCGGTCTGGAATTTCAATACTGCTTCACTCATCGCCAAGGTTGTTGATTGTATATGTTGTTGTATAATTCAACATTTATACATCAATATTTTCTTGGATTTGTGAAATATTCATTGAATATAATTAATTTTCATGAATTATACTTCCATTTGTTCAGTCTTAAAAAGGAGTCCAAATTTCTAGGAAATATACCCCAGGGGGGGGGGCAGATTTGGATACATAAAGACACATTAAACATGTTTCGGTGTTGAACCTTTTACACATAGTTCCTCTTGTATCTTGAATTTCATTATATTTGTATTGATTGCAACAATGTCAATCAATACATCATCATATTTGTATTGATTGCAACAATCGTATTGTACGATTGTAAGAATTATGTTGTAATCGTCAAGGTTTATTTTAAGAAAAATTTAGAACTGCACATAATATTAAGCATCACGTGTTTGACTGAAGGTTCAAAGGGTGTTTGACTTGTGGGTCAAAGGATTTTTATCTATATTTAATGTTATAAATTTATAGTTAACGTTGTAAATTATGATAGACTCTTAATTTGTATATAGGTGGCAGAATAAATGTGTGGTTGGGTGGGCCAGACAAACTCGATTCTGGTTGGGGGAGCTACTCAGCTACAGGTAGGGGGTGTCCCCAAAATTTTGAATCTAGAGGCTCGTAAGTGAGGCCCACCAAGGGTGTAACCTAGGTCGCTTGTCACTAATTTTGTAGCTGCTTTGTCGCTTGTTTTATTGTAATAAATGTCGCTGTCACTTTTGACCCTTAACACAAATCGCAATTTGTCGCTTTTTCCCAGTCAGAAGCTGTTGTCGTTTGTCACTCTTTTTTAGATAGTCGGTCGTCTCTTTTTAAGGAATGTCGCCTGTCGGTCATAACCCCTTGGTGGGCCTCGTAAGTTCTGGCAAAGATTTGTTTCACCCAACCACCCACAAAAACTGTTTCAAAACATGTAACTAGGAATCATGAATACTCAATATATAATAACCTTAGGCAGCAAAGAATATTAGGTTCTCCCACTCTAATCTCTTTTGGATAGCTTCGCTCGCCCCAATTTTACCTCCTGTTCCATTACCCCGGCATGTATGACATACTATGTCCTCTCCCAGAACACGTTTAGATTTTTGATGCTCAATGACAGCATTTCTGGCATTGGAGCATCCACAAGGAAAATGAGAAGAGTCAGAAAACTGTTTTGAGGTTATATTTTTGTTAATTTGGTGACTGCACATTTGAGTTTTAAGAACTCCACAAATGGGTTTAGAACTGCACATTTTGTGTAGAACTGCACGTTAAAATAAACCCTGGTATTCGTATCCCGATTTCAACAAATGTTATTGTTAAATTTATATTACTTCAGTCCAGATGACTAGGTTGTATTCAAATTTATTCAGCATCATAATATTCAACCGCGCAAATCAACATCTAAATTAATACGAAGTTCCTCTCGCAGCAAATCTTGAATTTCATTTACTTCTTCATCTCGAAACGTTTTCTCCATGGAGCGATATGTAATACGATAACAATGACTCACTTGTTCAGTCTCTGGGTGAACAAACTCATCTATCAACTCAACCTGAAGAAAAGAGCATACTAGTTAGCACGCTTTTGTGGTTAGGTTTGGAGCCATATAACCATGTTGACATTTGGTAAAGTTAGTGAATTAGATCTGCCCTAAAAATTTCTCAAACAATTGGGCCTCGGGTTAGGATAGGTCAACAAAATAAGCTGCAGTGGTTTCTATATGGACTACCTAAAAAGATATTTCAAATGTGGTATTTACAGGTACTACAATCTGGGTAGAATTGACATTTTCAGGTTATTCTGACCAAAACCACAACAGTTTGTTTACTAATTGAATAGCATGGTTTGCTTTTTGTATTTATTTACTAATGC